TCACAGCAAAGCATTAGGAGTGTATGCTAATCTTACCATTTAAAGTTGGGCAGGGGTTACAGTACTTTCCTCCTGATTGTTACTAGAACAAGGCCTGACACACAGCTAGCACTCAATAAATGCTACTAATCGTTACTATTATATTTTTCATTCCAATAAACACTTTGTTGCATCCGCAGTACATGTACTAGTGCCTGGCACTTAATATCTGCTTTAAAAAAAATTCTGTCCTTCACCATTGGAAAAGTATCAAATAGTTTTCCCACTTACAGTGAATTGAAATTGTACTACATTGTCAAAATATCTCCCTGAATGTAGGCACATTAGCGTACTAAAAGAACTGGACAAGGAATTAAGGATATTTACTGGCCACTGTGACCTCATGAGGTCCTGAATGTTATAAACAGAGCTCCTAAAGGGTATTAATTACAATCCACTCTAATGTTAATAACTGCAAAATAACAAACTAAATGCCTCTTTTCACTTGTCCAGCTTTAAACTTAAAAAGTGAAAATTCTTGCAATAAAGATTCACCATAAGAGTTGCACTAGAATGTAAGTCACTGTCCAGCTACATTTATCCACCCGTGAAATTTTAAGTTTAAATGCAACTGTCCACATAACATAGAGGTATTAAAGAGGAACACAATGTTTCTCAAATATTATTTTTTATTTTATCTAAACCCCCTCTGAAAAATTCATGAATCATTGTTTAAGGATAAAACAATTCTTAAACTATTTACTGATTGCATCAGTGTTAGTCTATACAAAACAAATAATTTGGTCTAAAACTAGTCTTGAACTAAAAGTTCTTTAACATGAAGGTAATGTTTTATTGTTGGCTATAAAGGAATGTCCATTCATAATTTTAAATACTTCTGTAGACAGAACCAGAAAGTAACAAATTAATCTCTTGGAACACTCCCTATCTGCCTCAATAACAAATAGTTTAACTGTACCTAAATCTAAAGTCTATTTTAAAGTTTCACAATCTGAATTCAGTTATATAATCTGAGTGAACATCATACAAACATACAGGACAGTCTCTGGGAAAAGAAGAAAGAAAAGATTAGCTGTGGGTCTAGTAATATTAACAATAAGATGCTTGTTCAATTTACTTGAACAGAGATCTTGCTAAATGAATGATAAAAGGTGTGTGACTCTCCTAAAATTTAGAATTCATGATGGGAGATACCATTCCTGTGTATCAGCATTTCTCAGCAAATCGAGGTTTCTGAATGGTAGCTAGCACGCCTTATTTCATATTTGTATATCCACTGCTTAGCCCCATCCTTGAATACAGTATGTCTTCAATAAATATTCAATTAACTGTACCATTTAATTGTACTATTGTACAACTGTAAGCTATATATTATCATCTTCTTTTCAGAAATAAAGAAACTTTGAGGATGAGAGGATGGATCCAGGCCAACCTGCACATAGTGGCCTGGCTTCATACCTTGCTCTAAGTCATAAAGTTAGTGGCAATGTGAAAATCTGACTCCAGGGGCCGGCCCAGTGGCTCAGCGGTTAAGTGCGCACGTTTCGCTTGGGCGGCCCCGGGTTCACCGGTTCAGATCCCAGGTGCAGACACGGCACCGCCTGGCAAGCCATGCTGTGGTAGGCGTCCCACACATAAAGTAGAGGAAGATGGGCACAAATGTTAGCTCAGGGCCAGTCTTCCTCAGCTAAAAAAAGGAGGAGGACTGGCAGCAGATGTTAGCTCAGGGCTAATCTTCCTCAAAAAAAAATAAAACAAAAACAGATCTGACTCCAAAATTTATATTCTTCCCATTATACCATGTCATCTAAATAGCAAACATATAATTATTACTAAACTCAATAGTTACATTATTCTTCTTAAATTATTTTCCTACATTATTGCTTTTCAAAGAAAAAAATCCTCAGGAGTTACTGTCCCTTCAATATCTCTGCAGCAGACATTTGACCCAGCATCCATTCCTTCCTTCCCCCAAATCCAAGATTTCTGATTTGGGAACTCTATTTGAGGATCCTTGTTCCAATGAAGTCAGCACAGAACACGTGTCAAATCAGGGCACTGGTTCAAGGAAGCCATATGACCTAAGCTAACCCAAAGTGAACTGCAGAACTTCTGGAAGAGTTGGAATAACAATATAAAATTAAGGCAGTATGTAGCTCCAGGAGCTGGAGGCAGCCACCTTTGGAAGAGGGAAATCTAGGCAACATTATTAAGCCACTGAATAAAGTCTTACTTAAAACCAAATGATAAATTCCCGTCATATTTTTAAACCAATTTGACTCAGGTTTTAAGTTACACATCTAAAAAATCAAAACTGACAGATTTTTACAAGGGTGCTTCTCATTTCAATGTCTTTCACGTATTGTTCCCTACTCACGGAATGTCCTCTCCTCCCAGAGAGGAGCTCTTATGTTCAGGCATTGTGTGAGAGGTTAAACACACATTATCTCTAATATTGAAAACTAATCTACATCCAAAATCTACAAAGTAAACCTTATCCTCACCATTTCACAGATGAGAAAGCTCAAGCTTAAAGGGACTGAGTGACATTCTCAATACCACATAGCTAATAAGTGGAGCCAGAATTCAAAACCAGGTTTATCTAGCTCATAAGCACATGTTCTTTCAACTACAGGAACCCGCCTGCCACGTGGATCTTGTCTTTGCTCAGGCATCAAATCCTCTGTGAAGCTTTCCCCATCCACTTACATATTTCATGGATAGCTCATTCAGAGAAAACATTACAATGTACTGTAACCATGTTTACATACTTAGAAAGTAAGCTTCTTAAGGATAGTAGAATCCAAGAAACACCAGTGCCTCTAACAGTGTATAACAAAGCCAAGTGAGCAACAAATATTTGTGGAATCACCACTAAACAGACATATGAAGTCCTATCTATTACAGATTAAATCCCATTAAAATAAACAATTGTCACCATACTGAGACATCCTTTTATACAGGATGTTTCTGAAATGTGGAACCTAGGAAGAAATATTTCTCGATAAAATACATTTGCTGCAATAAACTAAATGTTGCCCTGCTATACTTACAAAGAACTGTCAGAAATCCAGAGCAGTAAATATATACATATTTTTTTTGTTTTTATAAAGATTGGCACCTGAGCTAACATCTGTTGCCAATCTTCTTTTTTTTCCCTCCTTTTTCTCCCCAAAACCCCCCAGTATCTAGTTTTGTAGTCTAGTTGTAGGTCCTTCTGGCTCTGCTACGTGGGACGCCGCCTCAGCATGGCTTAATGAGTGGTGCTACCTCTGTGCGAGAACTTAACCACTTGGCCACGGGGCCAGCCCCTATATATATTTTTTTTAAACCAAACACTTTAAATGTATCAGAGAACCTTATTTCATACATAATAAAAGTCAAATACACTTAAAACAAACGGGACTATTGGTTTCATTTTAAAACCAAAGTTGCGCAACATAAGCCATTTAACTTTATCTGTAAATGAAAATCATGACCCAGATTATCTCGTAGATACCACCTAGCTCTAGGATTCTGTCGTAATTCAATAATATCACTAACTGTCAGCTTCTTAGAGTGCTTCATACCATTTTAGCGCATACTTACCCCTGACATTTTTCTCACTTAATTACTTATGTATTACCACCTCCCCCACTAGAATGTAAGCACCAAGAGAACAAGGATTTTGCTGTATTTATCAGCACACTCCAAGGTTTCACTTAGAACCTAGCAGGCACCCAAAACATGTTTGCTGAAGAAATAACAGTCATGAAAGACTGAGAATGCTTCTTCACCCAATTAAAAAAAAAAGGAAATCGTACACTACCAGGCATGTCCTGCATTTTTCAAATACGAGTTTTCTCATATATTACATACTTTGTCTCCATATTAATCTTACAGAAGTTTTTTTGGGGGGGTACCAAATACTTTATTCGAGGGAATGGTACAAATGAAAGAACTTAAGTAGATGTTTTGGAACAACAAAGGCTTTGAGAATATTTAGTAACTACCACTTCGTCAATAATTTACTTTGAATTACTGCATAAAAGCAACTTATCATCAGTCCCAAAATCACCTGCAAACTTTCCAAAGGAAATTTCACAGCAACAAAAATCTTATCAAAACAAAGCGTAATGAAGCAAAGAAAAACAAATACAAACCATCCCACCAGTTCACGTTCTGAAACAATGCTGTCTTTCCATCTCTCCCCATGTCTGTATACAGCCAGGACACTCGGGTATTGATAGAGGAGTCTCACACATACCACCACCATATTTAGAATGACACAGCTTCTAGTTAGTACCTTATTTCCGTTAAAACTTTCCCCCAAACTCTTCGAGACTCTCTGGACCATAAAGCTAAAACCCCACAACCTCACCTCGGTTTCTCCACCTTCCTCTCTCGCAATTAATCCTCTCCAACTTTTTCCCTTGGGATTCACATCTCAGCCATCAAGACCTTTTAAGCCCGCTACTATTGCTAAGTGCCTGCTTTCTCCTAGTGACCTAGGGACTCTCGACCCGAGGAATAAAAGCCCAGGCCACGTCCCTGCTCTCTCCCACCCCAGCATCTCCCCCACCCCCTCCACGGCGCCCGGCAGGTGCCTCGCTGGGACCGCCGCGCCCCGGCCGCCGAGAGGCGGGGCGCACAAAGGACCCGCACGGCCCTCCCCAGCCTCCTCCCGTCCTTCCCCCACAGCCCCGGCGGGTCAGCGCCCCGGGGAGCGGAGGCCCTGGGGAGGCGGCGCCGGCTCCGCGGGGACCAGAGATGCGCGCCCGGGGCGCCCCCTGCCGACCCCAACCCCGCCCACGCCCCACCCACGAAGGCTGCCCGGAGCCTGGACCCTCGCCCTGCGAAACTGAAAGCGCATCCCCAGCCCGGCGGCCGAGCGCATCCCGCCCGCCGCTCGCCGCCGCCCCGCCCGCGAGCCCGCGCCCCAACGGCCGCCCCCGCCCCGACCCCCGCAGGGCCCGCGGCCCGGGGAAGGGCCCCCCGCCCGCCCGGCGGCCGGCACTCACAGGCTGCCGGAGCAGGAGGTACAGACGAAGGAGCCGACCGTCATGTTCACGTAGGTGGGGCCCCTCTGGTCGCAGTCGAAGCACTTGCGGTTGTGCGGGAGGCCGGTCATGTCCCGCAGCATCTTCAGGTGCTTCTCCTCCTGCTTCCGCTTCGCGCTGGCCGCCATGGCCGCGGCGCCGAGGGAGGAGGCCGGCAGGGCCGGGAGCCGGGCGGCGCTGCGCCGGGGGCCCGCGGTCCCACGGGCCGCCCTGGCCGCGGCCGCCGCCCTCCGTCAGCGCGCGCCGCCCGCGCCGACCTGGCCGCCGCGGCTCGACTCGACCGGGCTGGGCGCGGCGCGGACGCTGCGGAGCGCGAGCTGACGGCCACACCAACCGGCCCCGCCGGGACAACCGTCGCCGCCGCCGCCGCCACCTTCCCGACTTCTCCTGAGGGGGAGAGACGAGGAAGGGGGACGGCAAGAGGAGGCCCGCCCCGGGCGGCCTCGGGCCAAGTGCCGGCCCGCGCCCTCTGCTGGCCGGGAGGAGTTACTGCGGCCGCGCCGAGGCCTGGGTTCCGGCTGGGGCCAACCAGAGAAGGCGCGAGGATGATGATGACAGTATTTATTGAGCGCTTGTATATGCTAAGCGCATTGCATGGGTTACTCTCGTCTCCTGCGTAAAACTCTCCAAGGGCTGCGCACTGCTTTGGGGACAATTCCAAGTTCCCCACGGTGCCCAAAAACGCTCTCCATCATCTAGCCCAGCCTGCCTCTCTCACTTCATCCTGGTTTACTCAGCCACACTGGATTTCCCTTTGTACCGCGAAGCTCCCTTTGGACCCAAGACCCTTGCTCTTCTCTCTGTATCAGAGTTTCTCAACTTTGCCACTATGGACGTTCGGGACTAGATAAGTTTTTGGTGTAGGGGCTGTCCTATGCATTGTAGGATATGGGGCAGCATCCCTGGCCTTTACCCACTAGTTGCCAGAACGATCTCCCCCCACCTCCCTAGTTATGGCTACCAGAAATCCCCAGGCGTTGCCAAATGTGGAGCGGTGGTAGAGACATGAAATCAGCAGAGCTGAGGACCACTGCTACGCGTGGAAGCCCACGTCATCCGAGCATCCATGGCAGGCAGTCCCTCAGCGCAGTCAACCCATTCGGTGTTGCAGCCCACCTTCCTGCAAAGTCGCTGTCGGTGAAATGGCTGTGTTGTGTTTTCTTCATAGTTCCAGCTCTTTGAAATCCTGCTTCTTATTTAGTGCTTGCCGTGTGTTGTCTGGGGTCTCCGTTTAGGCTCCAAACAGCATGGCCCCCTGTGTTTTCTTCACTACTCCACTGTCTGCCCCTCCCAGAGCTAGAGGCTAGGTGCTCCATGTTTGTGGAATGAATACATTAGGTATCTCATTTAATCTTCACAAGATCTCTTTGCGGTAAGCATGATTGCTCTTTCCATTTTACAAATCTGGAAGCTGAAACTCTGGGGGATTAGGTTAATTTATCCTGGGATACCTATGGGGAAAGCTGGGATTTCAACCCAGACAGTCAGACTGCAGGACCCAGATCTCTTAATCACTCCAAGAATCCACAGCCGGCAGGATGTTAGAAACATCCGGGCCCCTCACTTCCCGCAGGAGAAGAGGAGACCCAGAGAGCTGAAGTTCTAAAGTCGTTCAGCTAGAGAATGGGAAAGTAAGATTAAAATCTGGCTTTCTTGCTTGCCAAGGCTAGCCTCCAGATTTCCCATGAAAGTGACTGGGTGAATCAACCAATGAGACTTCATATTAATATAATACTGTTAATAATAATTAATGTTTTTAATATTAAAAGAAAGGGATTGACAGATTTTGGATAGGTTAATGGATTTTTTTAACTTTCTGTTATGGAAAATATCAAACACCTCTGAGCCCATGGCCCACCTTCAACAATTATCAGCTCAATGCTAATGTGCTTTATCCATACTCTCGCCATCCTCCCATCCCTCCTCCTATTATTTTGAAGCAAATCCTAAATATCATATCATTCATCTGCATATATTTTAGTCTGTATTGCTAAAAAAATAAGAACCTTCTCTTTTTTAAACTTAGCCACAATACCATTAGCACACCTAAAAAATGAACAATAATTCCTTAAAATCATCAAATATCCCATGAGTGTTCAACTTTCCAATGATCTCATCAATGTTTAAAAAAGATTGTTACAGTTTGTTTGACTCCACACATTGCAGTTCATAATATGTCTCATAAAGTCTCTTTTAGTCTATGAGTTTCCCCTCCATCTCCTTTTTTCTTTGCTTTTTTTTAAGGAACTGGGCCATTTGTCATCTTGTTTTCCATAGTCTCTGTCATTTAACGTTTTTCTCTATCCACTCTATTTCCTAAAAGTTTGTTGTTGGATCTAGCTCACTCGTATCCAGTTCAATTTTTTGGCAAAATTTTATTTCTTTGTGTTCTTCCATCAGGAGGCACATAGTGGTGGGGAGGAGTCTTTCTATCTTTTTATGATATTAGCAGCCATTGTTAAAGTCTAGATTCATTAATGTTGATATTATAACTCTGTCATTCCTTCTTCATTTATCTGCTGAAACATTTCCATAAAGAAAAGCTTCCCCTCAGCTACTGTTTAGCACAGTTCATGTCAGAAAGGCAGGATAAATGTTTGATGCCTTTCCTTTACTCACAAATTTTCAAAATTATGTGTTCACAATGGTGATCAGTATTTTTTCAGTGTCATTACCAACTCAAGAATTTAAACATATTTGATATATTTCATGTCCTTGGTGCTTACATTGTCTCAGGATTGGCCAATGGGAGCCTCTTAAAGTCAGCTCTGTGTCTTTCTGATGAGACCCTTGACTTAAGGTCAACTAGAATGCCACTGCAGGAGGGCCCTGGGCTGTTTCGGAGATAAGAGCAATGAAATGTCCAGTCCTGGACTGATCAAAACAGGAGGCTTACTTACCAGGCCCACTCTGGCTAAATATAAGACAGCAGTCTCTTATTCGTCACCAACAAACACACTTAACCTCTAGCCAATGGCTTATTTGTTGGTTTCTATATTTGTAATGCTCACTTGTCATTTGTATGTCTTCTGGTTGTTCATCTCTCCATGGTCTATTAACGTCTCTTAAAGGCCACAATCAGAAGGCGTGACTGTAGCACCTTGTGCACATAGTTATTAAACTAAGTAGTTGTTTTATTATCGTGTTGTTGTTGTTTAAAGAGGCAGGAGAAGGTATTTCCAGACTATCGATCTGTAGAAGGGTGAAGTTCAAGTGAAGTCTAAAATGTTTTCCCCAAGGAGAGATGAGAGTCCATATAACCTGCTGAATTTTGTTTTTTTCATATCCCGTATAATATCAAGGTAGGGTTTTACTTTTAAAAATGTCAAGGCAAGTTTGCAGTGTGTCCAGTAAGACTATTTATTGACTTTAATTTCCTTAACCCTCACAACAACGTGGAAGGAGGGTGTTATTATCCCCATTTTATATGTGAGGAAACTGAGGCTCTGAAATGCTGGCTTGCCCAAGGTCACGCCGGAAATGAAGCATGGAGCAGGGATACAAACCCAGATCTGGCTGCAAGGCGCCAGTTTCTGCTTCTAGTAACTGAATATTGAGCCTGCTTATTGGATTTGCAAAACAGAAATGACCTTCAGAGGTGTTAGCACCGCAGCCAGAGTGATCTTCCAAAATGCAAATGTGATTCAGGCATCCCCAGTCTCCTCCTGCTGCTTAAAGCCTTTAGGCGACTTCCCATTGCTCTTAGGATGAAAGAAAACCTAGGAGGCTTGGAGGCCTTGCACAAGTGGCCTTCTTCCTACCCATCATGCTGAATCTCCCCAAACCTGCCCCAGCTCCACTATGCCCCAGGTGCACAGGTACCACCCTAAGTCTCCACCACTCTGCTCCAGCCACACTTCTTTCTCAGTTTTTTATATTCTCTTCTCTCCCACCTCAGGGCCTTTGCACATGCTGTTGTTGCTTCCATAGACAGTCTTCCCTCTCCTCTGTCCCTTCTGATCCCTCAGATCCAGCTTATATGCATTTTTCACAGATCCTTCCGTGTCTGCCTAACCAAGTCAAACCCCATGTTATAATGTTCGTAGTGCCATGTACCTCTCCTTTAGAGTGTTTGCTCCTATGCTATTTATGCTGCTCTGTGATTTTCAGTTATTGTTCCAAGCCCCCCACTACTCTGTGGGCTTCATCCAAGAGGAGACCAGGTCTGCATTGGCTCACCATTCTTTCTCCAGCACTTAGCATGAGGCCTGGCACTTAGAAGGGGCTCAATAAATATTGGTTGAATGAATAAATAAATACAGCAATGGGGAGCCAGAGAATAAAGCTTTGCTCAGTCTTATGCAGTGAACTCTGCGTTCTGTTTATTGTTGTCTCTGCTGTGTTGGCTCCTGGAATGACTATAGTTCTGTCAAAGCTACACTTGTTTTGTTGAGGAACTTGCAAATTCTGAAAGCTAACCTCCGATGGTAAAAATCTAAAACCTGAGTTGCTCAGAGGCTCCCGCTGTCTTATCACCGGGGGTGACTCAGAGAAAATGTCCTGAACAAACGCTGGTGTTTGGAGAGGCCCCTTGGAGCCAGCAATGGAGCTGCCAACTCATCGTAGGCTGCCCCACCCTCGGCGCCTGTAGACAGGCCCAGCGAGGAGGCCCCTCTGTGTCATCTTGAAAGCAAAGCAGGACAAGCCATAACAAATATCATAGGGTGGCCAGCAGTGGCTGCGTCACTGGGAGGATTGAGTGAGGAAAGGAGGGTTCCCCATTCATGAAGGACTCAAATTTAGACTTTTGACAATATCTCTAACTGAGTTACCCACAGTGCCAAGGAGATCCACTAACAGAACAGAAAGATGTTGCCAGACGCCACGCCTGTCCCGTGTCCATCCTCGCCTCCTGCAGCGCACTCTGAATTCAAGCTTTTAAGAAGTCCTGGATTTACCTGTGAATAGCACAGTCGCCTTCTTTTCTTTGTTTGCTTGTGCATTAAAAGGGCTAATTTGTTAAGTAGAATTATTTTAAGACTTGTCACAGTTTTTGTGGCCCCGTTTTGACATCTTTTCATGTTCTAGTATACTGGGAGCCTTGAAAAAATTCAAGTAGCCATGGACCCTCTCTGAGGTGAGCCCCTCTTCCTTCTTAAAGGCCCCAGACTCCCGAAGCCTTTCCCAGCCCCAAACCTTGGAGGTCAGAGTCCCTCAGAAGCTCCTCAATCCTCCCTCAGGCACCCAGTTTCAGGCTAGTGAGCCTGGATTGTTGGGGAGCCTTGATTCTCCTTTCTTAGGGTCTTCAGATCTTCCTCTCCCTCAGACTCCCTGATGCCTGAGGCTGATTTTAATTATGGGGAGGAGTTACCTGACAGCAGTGAGCATTTGTAATGTAACATAACTGGAGCTGTAGATTTGCCCTTTTTACTACATTCTTCCCTCCCCATAGCGCGACTTTTTCCAGCTTGTGGCCAAGGAGCCAATGCTAATTTTTATGGCCCATTTAAGTAACGCAAAAGATAAGTAATGTTGGCCCCATGCACTCCCCCAGGTCCTAGCGGGTTTCACAGAGTGAATAATCCCAGGGCTTCGTGTCCTAAGCTCTGCAGCATAATACTCAACTCGATTTTTTCCCCTTTCTTCTTTTGATAGCGCCTTCCTTAGCTGTGGTTTGATTATTTTTAACATTGCTTCCTGACTTGCTTTTTAATTTGCAAGAAGCGGCGAGACAGAAAAGGAAGAGGGGAAAAAAAACCCTACAGAGAACAAGCAGTTGGGGTGTACTTCCTGGAAACATCAGTGGTTTCTGGGTACCCTCTGCAAACAGCACCAAGAAACCAGACACCTGAAGGACCCAAGTCCCTCCACACTAATGCTGTGGGGCTGACAGGCAGTCACCTGGCCTCCTTCTCCCTACACATTCCAAGAGACAAGGAGAGGCTGCAGACCCGCCCCCAAGCTGTCTGTGCTATCCAAGATCTGCCCGTCTTCTGCCTGGGTTCATTGTACTGTCCTTTGCAAGTTTGTCTCACCAGCTGCATTCTGTCTACTCAGAGAGCAGGCATCAGGTCATAACCTTCTGTGTCCCTAGTTTGCCAGGCCAGAGAAGGATCATGCCAGTTGGTTGACCGATGCAACCTCAGGTCATTCCAGAAGCCCAGAACAACTGCAGTTGGACTTCAGTTATCCATTCATCAGAAAGGCATTTTCTGGATTTTAGAGGGAAACCAGAAGTTGCTTTCAGCCTTCATTCATTCATTCATTCATTCAATGAGTATTTATTGAGCACCTACTCTCTGCCAAGCACTGTGCCAGACACTGGGGACTCAGCAATGAACAAGACAGAGGGCCTGCTCTCCTGAAGCTTGTGTTCCTGTGCAAGGGAGGACAGGCAATAAATATGTTCATAGAAATGGACCAGGTGATGCTAAGTGCTCAAGGGGACAAAGAAGCAAGATAAAGGAAGAGAATATAAAAGGAGAGGATGCTGCCAGGTGGTCAGGGCAGGCCAGGAGGTGGGTGAAGCAGAGGAAATTGGAGGACTTGCACCTGTCAGAGGTCGCAGATCAAACAGCCAGGCATGGAGACCCTGCACCCGAGCCGCCTCCCTTCCGTAGTCAGTTTGTGCCACAATCAGGAATCCTGGGTCACCCTGGTGGCCTGTAGAGAATGTGAATCATCTTTGGAAGCCAAGGGAGAGAGAAAAGTTCCCTGCCTGTGCAGCCGGAAGAGAGTCTGGGGTAAGAAACGCTCCATTCACGTCGTCAATGGAACGTTGTTCTTGCTCATTACTGAGGAGAGAAAGGGGACCTTCCCCTGTGGTTCAGGGGAAAGAAGGGGCCCCTGTGGGGAGAGAAACCTGCTCTGGTTATCAGAAAAGAAACACCAACAGGGCCTAGGGGCCTAGAGAAAAGGAAAACGGACCCCACCCATCAGCGTTCCCTTTGGAAGGGGCCAGATGGAGACATTTTAAAAGTGGATCTCTAAAAAATACTCCTTCCTTCCTTTTCTCTTTCTCACCAAGTGTTGGCAGATAGGTAAGGGCTTATTATACAACATGGGGTGACCTAATGAGCACAGAATAACTCTCTCGAGTGCAGTTGAAGGATGTTGCCATCACACCCCAACCCCTGAGGAGGGAAGCAATTGCACAGAACCCCACTGTGGATACCCCAATAATGATAACTGACATTCCTTGCGTCTAAGCACCAGGCCCTATGCTTGGTACAGTAACTCCATTAACCCTCACACCAGACTTGGGTGGTAGGTTTTATCATTATGCCCATTTTACAGATGCAGAAGTTAAGGCTCCTGAGTGGAGGACCTTGCAAGGTCACACAGATGGGAAGTGATGGAGCTGGGATTTGAAGGTCTGAGGTTTGACTCTGGAGCCCACGATTAAACCTCTATAGTCAACACTGCGCTGTCTGTTGGATGCTCTTGTGAATCCAACCCAGCCCTACGTCAGAGCTGGAAAAGTCAAGACGTGTGTATGCTTTCCTGGTTTTGATCTGGCCTCTGGGGGTACAAACACCCTGGAGCATAACTGGGCTGGTTTAGCCTGAGGCTTCTGCCTCAAGTGGATGCCACCGCACCCCCAGAGCTTCAGGCTGTGCACTTGGAGGACCTGAGAAGTTATTCAGATGGGGGAAATTACCTTAAAAGTTATACACACCGAGCTCACATGGTGGAAATGTCCCGAATATTCATTTAGGTGATTGTTGCTATGCAGGTTTGTGGTTGTGAATGTGCATCGAGCCATGTAGTGAAGTCCACTGCATGGGTAGGGAAGCTCCTGGAATAAATTTACAGGAACAAGCCCATAGCCATTTTTTACCTTAAGGATAACCTACTACTTTATCATTAGTCCCCATCCCAGCCCTGGGGCTGTGATGATTCAGAAGGTTATGGTAAGGATTGAATGAGAAAATATGCTCAGCCCAGCATATGTGGAAGCACAGTGACCTTTCTTCTTGTTATTTTAAATATGCCTACTATTTCCCTTTTCTTCCTTCAGTGTGTGTTGCTTGCAAGGTACCAAGTCAACCACAAGTTCAGTTTAGCTGCAGTGTGCTAGAAGCTGCTGTAAGAGAAGCCCTCTGGGTATGTGACCAGAGCCCTCTGACCAAGCAACACTGCGTTCTGATTGGTTGACATCGCTTGTGGTCTGAGTGGTCTGCACTGCAGTCTGTGATGTACACGAACAACTCTATTTCACTCAGTCCATGCTAGTTTTTATTTGTTCTAAGTAAATATCTGACGATGTCCGGTTCAATAGATTCTGCAGATGGAATTCTCCAAACACAGCTAACCGTAGAAGCCACATGTTCATTTAGGATTGTTTTATTCAGAGGGGAGGAGGGAGTGTGTGTGTCTAGGTGTGTTTAGGAAGTGGTGACAGGGTGCTTTAAGCAGATCCAGATCTCCTGCGTACACACGAAGAGACAGTAGCAGGGCAGTTACAGGCACAGTTTCTGAGTCAGATGTCTGCATTTCGATCCTGGAGCTCCCCTGGGAGCTTGAGCAAGTAACTCATCCTTTCTCTGCCTCAGCTGTCTCACCTATAAAATGGGGATGGTAATATCACCCATGTCATAGGTTGCTATGAGGATTAAATGATTTATATACAAAAAGCACTTAAAACAGTGTCTGGCAGATAGTGAGCCTCTGCAAGTGTTAGCTGTTATTATTATTTTCCTCTCTCTTCCCATGTACCACCTCCCCTACAATCCAGCCAGAATATGCAAGCAAATGAGTGTGTATGTGTATATGTATGGACTGGCTTCATATAGTACCCTGTTGTTGTTGTTGTTGCTTCATTTTGTTTCTTAATATCCTAAGTAATACGTGAATATAACCTCATGTTTTTAAAAAACAAAAAACTTCAAACAACGCTGGTGTAGTGGATTCAATAATGTCCCCCAAAATTCCCATTCACCTGGAACTTAGGCTGTGACCTTATTTAGAAATAGAGTCTTTCAAGATGTAATTAGTTGGATATCGTGAAATGAAATCATCCTGATTTAGAGTGGGCTCTAAATCCCATGACTGATGTCCTTTGTGTTATAAGCTAGTATGACCTCAGTAAAATAAAATTAACAAAAAGGAAAGGAGAGAGCACACACAGACACACAGGGAAGAAGACAATGTGATGACGGAGGCAGAGATTGGAGTGATGCTGCCACATGCCAAGGAACACCTGGGACCACCAGGGACCCCAAGGAACACCAAGAAACTAGAAGAAGCAAGGGAGGATTCTTCTCTAGGCCTTCCTGGCCCTGCTGACACCTTGATTTTGGATTTCTAGCCTTCAGAATTGGGAGAGAATAAATTCCTATTGTTTTCAGCCTCTAGTTTGTGAGAATTTGTTACCGCAGCCCTAGGATACTGATACTGCCAGGAAAGCCAAAGTTACCCCGTCCACAGCACACAGTCTCCCATCCACCCCTCTCTCAGCAGTAGTGTCACTTTGTTGCCTTTCGAGACCTTTTTCTATGTCCTGACACACATCTCCAACATATCCATCTAGTTGACAACAAACACATTTGGAGAATGTGGCTAAATCATTTTTATTACAGAAGCCTGACATTCTGCAGCGTGGATTGCAGTCCAGCGGCTGTGGACAAGGCCTGCTGCTGCTCCCTGGGGACCTCAGAGACTGTCTCCTGTGTCTCCCATGAGCATTGCCTCTGATTTACAGTAATGAAGACAAGGAAATTCTCGAGAACTGTGTCCCATAGGCTTTCAGGGTAATTTCAACAACCCTACTTCCTCTTTCTTATTCAGGTTATGTTCTGGTCCACCTTAGTCATCTTCTGCAAATCTGATTCATATGGGTCCGTTATATTAATATACGTCCATTCTCTCTAAGAACTGGAAGCTGCCATTTGAAGAATGGCCACATCTTCCCGCTGTGAGCATGATACATAGTCATCGATGACCTGAAAAGGGATCTTCGCATACAAAGTTTCGAACTGAAAGAATATTAGAAATCACGTAGGCCAGTGACTCTTAACAATTTGGGAGTTATAGCCCCTTTTGAGACTCTGATAAAAGTCCCCTTCCTTGGACTATGCACTGAACACATAAAATATAATCTCAGGCCAGGTAAAAAACCCCCTTGTGCCAGGTTAAAAACCCCCTTGTTTTACATATAAGGAAAATCAGCCTCCAAAATTAAAGCAAAAAAGGGCTCAGAGGGTTCTGGTGGCAGAGAAAGAACCCAGATTCTCCATGCCCCACTACCTCCCTGAGGTTCTCTCTATCTCAGTCTGAAGACCCCAGTTTGCCAACAGGAGCGACAAAGGTGGAGAAAGGGGCGTGGAGGGCTGCCCTGGATTGATGGAGCTGATGGTCAGAGGAAGGCGAGAGTACAAGGTCTACACCTTGGACACAGATAGTGGCCAGGACACCACAGTGGGTTCCCGGGACTTAGCACTCCTCCATTCTCCACTAAGACCAAGACAAAAGAAAAGAACTTTATATGAGAGCAACAAGGCCTTGGATAACACAGAATTTATTTTAAGTAACAATCTTTGCATTTCTGAAAGAAGTTTATATAATGTCCTCTGCAGGCCTCTTAAAAATAGAATAGCATCTCATCTTTCTAAGATAATTTGAATGTAGACAGATACGGAGGCAAGAGGACCGACTAGTCAGAATCTTAAATACATGGTCTGTGTAGGCCATTCCTGCTTCCTTAGCCCAGAGCAGGCATCACTCATCTGCACTGCAGCATTCTAAACCAGCTCCAGGTATGGCCTCAGAATCCTTCATAACTCAGCACTGGAGAAGTTACTCCCAGTTGGCAATGAGGTCTGCACCGTATTCGCCATCCTACCGCTAAATGACCTTCCCACATCATTCGAGTCTCTTGTGATTAGCTATTTCCCTGTAGTCCCATTTAAACTTTCTGATGGCTTTCCTTGGTTCAGCAGAGGCCTAGAGACTTCCCCTTCTAGAGTAGTCATCTCTCCTAGGATTTCTTCTAACAGCTGTACTCCTACATTCTTAGTCATGTGAAATAACTAAGAGAGCCCTACGTGTTCTTGTGTGTAACTTACTTCAGTTTACACAGACTGTGAAGATAGCTCTATACAGGTTTCAAGTTCAATCTTCTCATTGCCCGTGGGTCTCGCATCTTAATTTTTGATATCCTCTTTTGTATTAGTGACTTCTCTCTCTCTCTGGACTAAATCTCTAATGTTTTATTTTGAAGGAAGAAAAAGCAGACTGACACAAGTCTGTGCTGCATCACGAAGTTGAGAGACAATGACAGAGGAAGGTACAGTGTGGTATTTTACATCTTGTCACTCTAAATACCAAAGACTACAAGGTCTATGTATCTACGACATCAATCAGATACGTTGAATGTAGAGCCCAGTGCTGGCCTCTCTCCTTGATTCTGTCCTTTGCTTGCATCGCCAAGCATTCCTCAACTACTGCTGGAACTTTCCAGCCTTGTGTTTGCCTCAGTGGCCCTTGACTCAATAATTTGTCTTCTGTGATATAACTACACTACCCCGAAGGGAACAACCAACTTAGCTTGCAAGGAGTTAATGCTCCTCCAAAGTGGAAGAAGCCACATTCTAGGAATGTTGCAGCCTGTGTTGGGGAGATTGTGTGTGTCAAGTTTTCTGTGCCAGGGATGGAGTGCAAGAGAGGAACTGAACAGGAGGTCGTGTTGTGTTGTGTTTTCTAGTTCTAAGTCTGGTTTAAAAGAATGTAAACCAAGGAGGTTTTAACATTTTCTGATGTGACTTTAAGAAATCATTTGGTGCCCCTGCTTCCACAGCCACCCTTCTCTACTGTCCATTCTCAACCCCATCCCGAAGAGGTCATTTTAAACATTAGGTCAGATCATGTCAGGTCACTACTCAAAATCATGTAATGCCTGCCCCCTACTTCTGTCCTCCTCTCCTACAAGGCTCCTCTTCCTCCTCTCTCTGCTCCAGCCACACTGACCTTCTTGCCACATGGGGAAGACACCAGGATCCTGCCTGGGGCCTTGACTCCAGCTATTGCCTCTGCTGTAAGCCAGACATGTGCTTGGCTAACTCTCTCACTTCTCTCCATCTCCGTTTCTCAACAGGGCCTATGCCTATGCCCCTATTTAGTGTGGCATCCTCCTCCCTCCTCCCACATACCCCAATTCTCCAGCACCTCACCCTCCTCTCCCTCTCATTTTAATTTTTATTTTTTTCATAGCACTTGTGAACTTCCTAGATACCACATCATTCTCTTACTTACTATGTTTATTGTTTACTATCTAACTATCTACCACAAGATTGTAAGCTCCAGGAGGGCAGAAATCTTTTTCACTAATTTTTTTTCTCACTAATGTGTTCCAAGGGGCTTGAATAGTGCTAGACATTTAGTACTTGCTCAGTTAATATTTGATGAATAAGTGGTTGAGCAAATAAGTAAATGAATGAATAAAACCTTTGTTCTGAGATGACTACTGATTAGTAGCAAACACATCAGCTCTAAAGGGTTTCTGGTGGCCTGCCTGGTGGTATAGCAGTTAAGTTCGCACATTCCACTTAGGCAGCCTGGGGTTCGCTGGTTCAGATCCCAGATGCAGAACTACACACTGCTTGACAAGCCATGCTGTGGCAGGCGGCCCACATATAAAATAGAGGAAGATGGGTATGGATGTTAGCTTGGAGCCAGTCTTCCTCAGCAAAAAAGAGGAGGATTGGTAGCCGATGTTAGTTCAGGGCTAATCTTCCTCAATAAAGAAAGAAAGAAAGAAGGAGAGAGAGAGAGAGAGAGAGGGAGAGAGAGAGGGAGAGAGAGAGTGAGGGAGAGAGAGAGGGAGAGAGAAAGAAGGAAAGAAAGAAAGAAAGAAGGAAAGAAGGAAAGAAAGAAAGAAAGAAAGAAAGAAAGAAAGAAAGAAAGAAAGAGAAAGAAAGAAAGAAAGAAAGAAAGAAAGGATTTCTGAAGCAAGGATATAGGGGGAAAAAATCAACATTACAGAAAAAGCTGAACACAGATGATAGAGAGCATTTATTTCTCTACTTAATATATGCACACAGATGATGTTTACCTATTTCTCTTGGAGCCAAACTAACAAAACTTCCAACAGATAGATAGTTTTTACAGTAATTTTTTTTGTAAAGCAGTCAATTTTTAATTCTTAAAGGTTTTACGAAAGAAGGTTGCAGCAGTTCTTTGGATCTTTCTGGCAAAAAGCAGACTGTTGCCTGGATTGCTCTAAGAGAACATCAGGTTTTCCTTCAGTTGAGGAGGAAGCAGAAATTCATGTACAAAGATGTTACTTAGAAGTCATAAATATTTTGCCAAAAGGAAGCTACTTTTGCGGCCGAATGATGGAATCATTTATGCTAACTACCTTTCAGCAACTCTTCATTTTGCAGACAGAGGTGAGCTCATATGATGAGGAGCCAAAACACCTTATTGAGGCACACTCTCTGGACTCTTAGTGAGATGATAGGCTCAAGAGTAAGACTAAGGCAGCTTGATGTTTGTCACTGAATAACCATCATCTCATCCAATTAACTTCTGCAGAGGAAGCAGCTGCGAAACTCAACGCTAACAATATTGGACTGTGTAAATAAAGACATCATGAGTCTATGGAAAAGAAATTCTGACACTTGAGGCCCAGTGAAATTGTGTCCCTAAAACTCTGCGTTTGAGAGAGAAGAGGAAATCTCACACGAAATAACATTACGAGCTAGAAGCTCCCTGAGTAGGCTTCTTAAGGAAAATGTGCATTTTTGTGGCACATTTTTTGTGTGTGTTTTAAAGATGGAAGGGTATTTATTGTTTCCTGCGATGCACTTTGCAGAAGTGCTTTTCGCAGGCTAGATGCCGATGCGATTAGTTAAACACGCACACCGTGACATTCCTCTGTGCAAGCTTTAAAAAATTGCGAGTCTAACCTTTTTAAGAAGTACATGTAACTGCTAAGACCTGATGAGAGGCGGCACCAAGTGAAGGCTTTTCAGATGAATCTCTGGCGAAAGTCAAAGGTCAGGAGTACTTTGTGGACAATCAAGGGGATAATGTTGGTTTCTTAGACAAGATAGCCTCCAAAGAGAACCCAGGCCCGGTGTTTAAATCTGACCTGGATTTGCAAAATCCAGAACCCTCCTTCTTGCTATCTTAAGAGTCAACAGGCATTAACTGGGCTCAGTACCAGGCCACTCTCCAGGATCTCTCTGTGGTCACTGTGATAACCCTCTCTCTCTCGCCCTTTCATCCCTAAATGTATTCATCACACAGTTTCTTTCTGATCATGCCTCTTTCTCCTCTTTACATTGCTTCTTCTCACGAGAAGATCCTAAGTTTTTCATTCATCTTCTCTGCTCCTGTAATGCTTCCCGCCCCTCCTCCCACTCCTGTCACCCCCCTACCCTGACCCCTGCCCCATCTGTGCTGAGGTTACGAGCTGAAGCTCCAGACTGCTCGGGTCTACTCCTTGCTTCACTCCAACCACCTGTGGGACTTTGGGTTAGTCACCTCAACTCTCTATGCCTCAATATTCTCACCTGCAAAATGGGGATGATAACACTAACCATGTTTTGGTGAGTATTAAATGAGATAATACATTAAAGTGCTTTGAACAGTGTGTGGCACATATTAGCCATTGCTACCATTATCGTCAAATGCAGAAATGTATTTATCCTTCAAGCCTCAGGCTGGATTTTAATCTTCTGTGAAACCTTTCCAGATCTTTTAATCAGATGTAATGGTTCTTGTTTATTAATTTGAACTCTTGTAATACTAGGTTGGCGTTTTCTTTACCACCTTTTAACGGTACTATTTACTGAGCAACTAGATATGTCAGGGAAGGGGCTCAATACTTCATGTGTGTTGTCTTGTTTGTTTTTGAAAAGTGAGTATTACTACTTCCGATTTACAGATGCGGAAACTGACCCTCACAGTTGGGTAGACATTTCCAGATTCACAAAGAGAACATGATTAAATTCATTTGTCTCCTTAACTTCACTTCTAGATTAAATGCTCTCCAAAGGCGAGGTCAGCATTTTACTCAGATTTCTATGCCTTGTACCTCACATGGAGAAGATGTTCGTAAACACCAAGTACTGTTGATTCAACGAATGTATGAATGTATGGTTTGAAAGAAATGAATGTATGAAATGAATGTATGGTTTGGAGACCAGAGAGTCTGGTGACATAACAAGAAGAAATGGCATTTATATAGAATTGTAGACTTTCTGATGCATTTTCGCATGCATTATCTCATTAAAATCTCACAACAATTCTGGAAGATATGTACTGTTATTGTCTTTATTTCTCAAATAGAAGACTGGGAGGAAGAGAGGTTAATTGGTTTTCCACAAACCAAATTGCCAATGGTGGCAGTGCCAGGACTCCAATCCAGGCAGCCTTCCATATTCTGTCCGCTAGAATATCATTGCCTTTTCCCCCGTACCATCTGAGACCCAACCATTGCAACAGTGGTTGGAGACAAAATAAACTTTCTGTAAACCTCAAATACTGCAAACAAGGCAATGACCACAAATTAGCAGAAAACATGAAGCTGTTTTTGCCAGAGTTCAGTTCTTCAAAAGGAGGAAGACAGACAGATCCAGAACCAGGCCAAGTTAAAGAAATCTAATTCCCATTCTGTGGGAGGACATAGTCAGCTCAAATAGTTCCTTTAATCCAAATATGGACTTATATAAAGTAACGAGCCAACAGGTTTTTAAGAGCTCTAAATTTTGACAGTGCTCATCCGTAAGAATTCACTTCTGGAACATTCTTTCTTATCTTTAGAAAGGTCAGGCATGCTGTCGTTTCAATCTCTCTCCAGTGGTGGTATCCCTACAAAGGAGCTGGATTAGGTGACGTCATCGTTTTTATGTTTCTAAATCTGAAGAGCAGGTTGATGTGTTATACAACAGAGAAAGAAAAAGGATGGCTGTGTCATCAGTAACATGCCCCATTTCAAGAAGCAGCCAGTGTTCACTAGGGAGTTTATTCACCACAGAGATGTAGAAAGATTGGAAGCAAAAATGCTGACACACGTTTGCACAGAGAACAATTGCAACATTAGTCCGGGGAGTTGAACCAAAACTGCCCTTTGCCTTTCTCCACCTGTTGGGGTTGGAGGGGAGCTGGAATGCCTTATCTTGCCCTCCAGACACACTTACTTAGGGTAGAACAAATACCAGACAGGGATGTGGTAACTAAAGGCTCATTTATTTCTCACGTTATCTACTGAATGCAGTGTACAAAGTCTCAAGCCTTGTGGTATGGGGCCCAGGACAAGAAACCATATGCAGACTCTTCCCT